GAGGGGATTTTTGGAAGATATGACATACTCTTGTGGCTCATTTTTAAAAGATCTTAATCTCCCTGATACTTACAAAGACGTCGAGATTCGTGACCACGACTGTTATGACCCGATAAAGAAGCTATATTACTCTGCTAACTATGAGCCTGTTACTACTGTGGCATAGATCAACCATATACTTCTTCTGGTCACTATCCTCAATGCAATAACTGTATTGACAAGCCTGTTGTCGCTAAGAAATAAGTACTCTTGTTATTAATTATTCTTGGGAATAATAACTTGTTATTATTAAAATAAAATCAATGAATATTTTTATAATAATAATGAATAATGTTATGAATAATGAATTATCCCGCCCGCCCGCATGGAAGCCGCACCTGTTATGGGAAACAATGAATTTAATTGGAGTGGCCTTATGCATTTGAGCAACTAGTGTTGCATCTGAAACCCTTATAGCACTGAAGGAGAAATCGTAACACCTTCAACGTCTTGCCTTAAGCCACATCCTATTAACCAGTTGGTTTTCTTCAACAAAAATTATGATTTTGCATACTTTTGTCAAAATATTCATTTTGGTAATAATTATTGTGGAAATAAATGAGGCAATATATTGCTCTGCAAAATGCAGGGCTACTTCTTCATTATAATCAAGAATAGCTTGCAGCCACTTTGTGGCCTTAGCCATTTTGACAAATAAAACACTACAGACATTAGTGTTTCTAATGTGAAAGTAGCCCTTTGCAAGTACTTCCAAGTAAAGAAACCCCTACAATCACGACACTTTGGGGTGGTCCAATGACATCAGCATTTCAGTTAAGGTTGATTTGTCACAAGAAGTAAATCAATTTTTGCATGAATCAAATGGCACTTCTAGCCAAACCCATAATGATATAACTGTGCAAGCAAGCTCTTTTATTGAGCATTTCTTCACCTCTAAAACATTTATAACAAAACATTGCAGAAACAATCAATGCATTTCCAGCTGTAAAAATACATCCTTTAATAATGGTCTGAATCAACTAACCAAACAATTACAATAACAACTTTAATAGAGTGCATAAAGAAGTGAACAACTGTAAAATAAATATAATTTATTTGTTAAACTGATTTGGTTCATCAGTTTTTTTGTCACTTTGTTCAGGAGACTCACGTAAAGACTCAGTAGAGCTGGCTTTGCCACTTGGTTTTAATGCAGCTGCCATTGCAGCTACTGCTAAGGCTTCATTAATTCCAGCTTGAGAAGTAGCAATCTGTTGCGATAACTTTGTTGCCGTTTGGTTCTGCATTGCTAACCTCAAAGCTTGCTGTTGACGAAGGAGTGCTAATACTTCATCAGTTTGCATACTTCTCGCAGGAAGACCAGCTCTTACTAATGTACTAGAAACACGCTGATTTGGTAAAGCAATAGTACCTGATCGAAGTTGCTCAATGCCAGGTATTTGCAATTTTGCCGGTAACTGTATAGAAGGGCTTGATGCTGGAACTTTTGGATAAGTTTTTGAATGTTGATGTTGGCCTTGCCTCTGAAGGACATTGGCAATTGTTGTAGGAGAAATCTGCGATCCAGTTTGTTGTTTCTGTTGAAACTGCTGTTGTTGTTGCTGCAAAGCTGTTTGCTTTAGAAGAAGAAGCTGCTGTTGTGTTAGTCTCTGCCCTAAGAAAAGACCTTTACCTAAAAATGACAAAAGTAAAAATTAAATAGTAACAGTTATACAAGATAAAGCTGTTAATTGTAAAACACTTATCATGACATTAATTATTTATACAGTCTGGTCTTCTGTATTATTATCATCATTAGAAAAAATATTATAGACTAAAAACTTAAAAATAGTTGCATAACAAGATTTATAACACACTTTCAGTTTCAGACACAATGTGTACAGAACAAGGCCAAAAAAGCTAAGTAACACAGTGCTACGCAGGTAGTTTGTTAGTAGTATTTTGAAGTAAGAGTAAGTGTAGGATATATCCCTGTCTGGAAGTGTTATAGGTACATAACTCTAGCAAAATAAGTGATCAAGGGTGTAGCCTGAGACCACTTATCTTGAGGGAGTTATGTACCCACAACCACCTCTAGACAGGGATGTACTTTAAGGAGTTTGCGGGTATATACTTTAGCAAATTTAATTTAGCAAATTTTAGTGATTTTAAAAAACAGCTAACTTAGGTCCATCTTAACTTTAGTTTCTGATAATAACTTCACTGAAAGTGGGTGTGATCACAATGACTAAAATGGCGGCCGTCAGCAAGTCTGTGCTTATTTGCAGCAAAAGGTCAGCAAGATAATACACAACTACTGTCCAAAGACTTCTCTAGCAGCTAGCCTAGGTTAACAAAGCAGATGACAGTTTTATTCATTCAGTGACTGCTTCTAACTGTATGCAAGATAACTTTACATGTTAATGGCTATAGTAAGTGATGAAGCAATTTAAGCAAGATTAATGCAACAAGATATACTGTAATTAGACTTGTGCAATTGCTTTGCTTGCTAATACATGTAGATCACAGCACATAATCTATAGCTTGCTTAGGCTTGCTCCTTCAATGTTTTACATTCTTCTAGCAGCTATTGATACCAAATGATAAAAACGCTAAATTAAGTACCAGCCAAATGTCAGTTTCATCATGAATCGCTAAAATAAGTACACACTTAAAGCAGGCATCCACTATGCAACTTTGTTGCCAGTACCTTTGATGTGGTCGTGCAACATGTTGCATGAACTTGAGTGTCTCTCTACTTCATGCAACATGTTGCACAACCACATCAAAGGTTGAACCACAAGTTGCAAGCAACAATGCTGCTTAGTGGATGCCCACCTTAATAATTGTCTCCTTAAGGTATCTAATTTATGCCATTGTAAAGTATTGTGTTTTATGTAAACTGTGATACCTTAGCAGTATTGTTCGTTTGTAAACTGTGAAAACCACACACTGTCTGCAGAGTGGCTATAGGCATATAACTCCCGCTATACATCAAAGGTTTCCATAATAACCACCCATGCACTATGGTATAATAATATAATAATAATTCTTTATTGCACTCTGCCCAGTCACATGCTCTGTAGTAGCAAGCGCTTAAGCACTCATGAGGCTCTCACAGGACTTGAAGATGGTTCTCTTCATAGGCGTAGGCAGGGTCCAGCATATAGGGGCAATGCCCGACCTGACTTTGTGGGCAAGGCGGACAGTGAGGGAAGAAGCTTGGGCAAGGTGGCTGGGCAAAACAAAGTGTGTGAGACTGTGGGACTATCATTACCACAAGTGTAGTTAGTCACAGGAACTATACTGTCAGTTTGTGACTGTCACTGAGCCTGAGGAGTGAGGAAGAAGCTGAGAAAGCCAGAGCTGTAGCATCAGCCATTTTATTCAAGTTATGAATTATATTTATGATGTCATATAGGCCCAGGGAGGTAGGACACGGTTGACCTTTGATAAATAATTGCAAAGTTCAATTGCATGCCATTGGTATCACGTGACGCAAAATGACCAAATTCTTCCACTAGTACCACTTTTAGCAATAATTTAGAGCATCAAGATGGAGTCAATGGGACTTTCATTAATTCACTAGAAACTATGACAGTTGCAGTAACTTTTAACATCTTAAACTAGCGAAGATTGATTTATCTGATGAAATAAAAAAGGGAATCAAAGTTAAGATGCACTGTCTCTTTCTCCTTCTTATATTCATGTCTATAATCAAAGAAGAAATATGTGACCATAATTGACAAAAGGGCCCTTATGGCGGATTTTAAAATTGATTGTTATAATGGAAAATATCAACCTGTGAGTGCTTTGTTAGACAATCATTGTTTCTAAAAGTTTCATGGTAACTTTTTGCATCCTGTGGAGTAATTTTATGATAAATGGAGCTCAGGAAGTTGGATTTCTTAGCCTAGAAAGACAAATTTCACTACCCGCCATAAGGTACCTTTTGTCAATTATGGTCACATATTCTCTATACAATGAAGATTCTAACAACCGTCAAGGGTCGTCATAGATCTCTCTAGTTTCTGCAGTAGTAGCTAGTTTTGTGATACAATCATCAGAAAGCTGCCATTTTTCATCACGTGATACCAATAGAATGCAATTGAACTTTGCAATTATTGCTCAAAGGTCAACCGTGTCCTACCTCTTCTGATAGAGGCCTAATGATGCCCAAGTTATAAAGTTAAATGTTGAAATGGCGAGCAAACGGCAATCTTCCATGAAGTCTTTTTTTAATTTTTGCACGTGTCTTACATACCGTAGGTCGGGATATATTCGCAGCTGCAATTATTCACCGTCATAAAAAAATTTCAAATTAAAAACCATGAAAACCAAGGTATTACTTCAATTGAAAACGGCGTGATAGTGAAGAAAAGAACCTTGCTACAGTGTTCTTGAGTTCTTGTGTCACTAAGCCTTGGGCTCTTTGGAACTGCTTTACCGGTTCTTTTCAGAACTAGTGCCTGGCCCGTATTTTGGGACTCTCCACCCATTCTAGTTAGTGTTCATTGACTTAACATGGTTTATTGTCACCAGCACGTGGACCAGCAACAATTTGCAGCAAAGAGGCTGAAAGAGCTCTGAGGTAGCGGTCCATACAAGAAGTTAACAGATAGAGAAGGACTCGCTATCCATGAATGGCTCCACTATAGCTGCTAAAGAACAGATGAATAGCTGAACACTAAACACGTGGTCTAAATTGTCATAGCAACGCTCTAACAGTTTCCATGGTTTCTAATTGAATTTTTTATGACTGCGAATAATTGCAGCCACGAATATATCCCGACCTACAGTATAGAAAGAGATTTGTCTTCCCAGCTCTGGGATGGCTTAAACGAGGTAGTCATCAAGTTTGCTGACTCTCACGACAACTCCAGAGACCTCCAGTGATCATCCACAGAGTTGAGTTTCCTCCTCATTTTTTCGTTAACCGGCTTTTTTCAAAGCCACCATATCACAAGATTACAATAAAACAATAACAATTGCGTAAAGGGTATGCATGTCACATAGTGCAAAATCTCCATATTTCAGGTGGCAACAAGTGGGTGTGGCCAATATTTTCGACACGCTTTGCATACCCACCAATTTCTCCATGCTCTGCCTTCTTTCATAGTCTGCGCCCATGCTTCTCTTAGCTGTCTGTGCTGTCCAAGTTTATCTGTACTGCCACTCCCTGCTTTTAGAGACTAATTTAGGATGTTTTTTGCTTATTCTACACTCAAGGTACTCTCCTGCTGCTGACTATATGAACTACCACTACTGGTAGGTTTGCACATGCATAACGAAGGAGCAGAGAACTACCTACACAACAGTAGCATCGCTACTTCGCTTTTTTGCACATACTGTATGTACTTTTGAAGGTTCTTAACTAAGACCATGTTAAAAGAGACCTACTTTAGTGTTTAACTACATAAGAAAGCAAAATCCATTGAATATTCCCAGGAGCACCAATAGTTACTTAACCAAGAGCTTTTTAACAAAACACAAAAACACCATTATACATTGACATTGCCATAACAAAAAGTTGCTTCTTCACAACACTGTATGTACTGATGTACCAGTCAATAGAATTAACAACAAAAAATTAATACTCTATATGTAGCCAATAGAATTTAATTTTTAAAACTAACTTCCATCATGCTGATTCACTGTAGGTACATACATGAATTCAAAAAAGTAAACTACACAATACTTAAATCATTCATTACCCCCATTTACGCATAGGCACAAAGCAACTGTATAGCAGTATTCCAGTTTCTTTCTGTGTCTATGCCAGTTCTGTTACAAGCCTCTGCTGCTTTCTACTTGAGTTCTCAAAAAGTCTTACAATCAATACTGACGTTTGGAAAGTTTTTTCCTTATCTGCCAACTGCTGATTACACCTTAGGCATATAGGCAAGGGTGATGCAATCATCATGTCAGTGAGTGTGTGTGACGGCGTCTTCTTTTCTATTGTTAAACCCTTGTTGCTTGCCTCCAAAATATTTCTTGAAATTTGTTTCTCATTAGTTAACTTTATTTATCCATCATCTTCAAAACAGTACAAGCCAAAAATATTGCCAAGTATAATCTAAAATATGGCCAGCTATTTCAGTACAAAGGTACTAATGCAGTAGATCACATTTACACCATACATTGAAAGTTTTTATTGATTATAACAGTACTGAAACTGCTTAAAATCTTCATTCCTGAAATATGTTAACTTTTAAGCATCAACAGTCTATATTAGCTGCTATACAAAAATAATGCCTAAACTTTGTCAAAAAGTGGGTGAAAGTGCAAAAAACTGAAGCTTTTTATCAATAACTGCCCATTGGTTACAATGTTAGCAGTGCATTTCTCAATTATATTTCAGAAGGCTCAGTCTCACACATCAACTGTGTTTGGCTAGTTTTCTTAACTCATAGCTAAATTGAAGTTTATAACCAAAGTTTTATAAGCAAGGTTTTATAACTCTTGTACCGCCCATCCGCCCACTTGCCTCATGTCCATATAATCCCATGCACTTGCAATTTCCAGTCGGCCTTTTTC